GAAGAGGAGTTTTGTTCATAAAATTGCTGGAGGAGATGTTGTCTTCCTTTCCCCCAGTAGCTCAGAGGTTAGACCACTCACTGAGGATGTGGGGGACTTAGGTTAAATTCCCTCTTATACTTAAAGGGTTTGAACCCATATCACCCACCTTTTAGAGTGGTGGTTAGGGTACTCTCCCATCAGCTAGGCTGGTGCACTCTCCATCTCTGTCACTGATCATGTCATTTTGTATAAATAGTTGCACATTCACTAGAGCAGGAACTGGAACTCAGGTCTTCCACCTCCCAGGTGAGTATTCCAGCCACCAGACTAGAATAATTTATTTAGTCTTTCTTTCTCTAGCTGTAGTTATTTAGTATCTTATGCAAACTGGAACAGCATCAACAGGAAAGACTGAGAGGTCCCCTCCATCCTCACCCCAGAACAGACTATAGCCTGCTGGTCAAAGTATTTTACTTGGGAGTGGCTCTGTGAATTTAAATCCTTCCAGGCATACGAAGGTATTCCATATCCCTGAGCAAGTGCTGTAACCGTGGAGATATTGCATAGAAGAGAGCACATCACCAGAAGCACCTGCAGCAACTTCCTCTCCATCCTCATCTTTTGTAAATATAATCCTTCATTTCATTTGCTTTGTTACAAGGCACACAGTGGAATGGAGTTTTCATCTAGGGAAAAAAATCTGGAAAAAATAGAAAAATAGATCAATTATACACATAACCCTAACAGTTATTCCATTTTCTGTTACAGAGTTTTTAAAAATCTAAATGACTAGTTGAATACTTATTCTGATGTATATAGTTATGCAGCAAAAAACCCCCTTTGGTTTGAATGCAGATCTCCCCTCTGCTTCCCAAGGATTGGTAATGCATACCTTAGCCTAGCAGCAGCTGAAGACATATTGAAGATCTTTGCGCTGTCCAACCAAGTATATGGTGAACATTTAATTACTTGAAAAGGATATAAATTGAATAATATGTCAGACAGCATCATGGCACAGAAATAGCGAAATAAATTATGTTGCAAATTCATCCCCAAAATGTTCAACAAATACTGTTCAGCTAGTCCACGTTACTGTATCCCCTTTCCTGTCCTAATTTTCCCTTTCTTTTTATCCTGTGATAGGTCAGCGTGTGTGTTTTCCTTCATTTTCTTAGTGACTATTTTGTCATCCCTTTTTCTTCTTCCCTTTTCATTATGGTTTTCTCTGCCTTCCTCCCTTATATTTTCCCTCTCTTGCATTCTTCCCCAGATTGTTTCCTACTTTACCCACCATAAATACTTTTCTAATTTATCCCACTAATCTTCCAGTCTTTCCTGTTTCACTCCCAACCTAGAAGGGCTGGAAAAGGAAGTGGACAGGGCTGGATTAAGACATTCACACAACTCTAGCCCTAGGCTCAATCCCAGTTTCTGGAATCATGATTGGGATAGTTACAGATGCCATGATATCTCTTCCTTCCCCAGCTCCCTCCACTGATAGCTTCCATTGAATAAGGGTTTGATATATCTGATCTCCTTCTGCAAATCTTCTATGAATGCTGTTTGGCAAAACAGCATTTTGTGTGGGTGTGGTAGCAGTTTCCACTGCTCTGTCCTTCCCAAAGTCTCCATTTTGGGTTCTTATTTCAGCGAATAGACTTTGGGTCTGGTTCTGTTCCACCTATTAGGTATGTAGATGGACTTACGCACCTATGTGTAATTTCATTGCATTCTTCTAGACTCCCTGAAAAACTATTAAAGCAGTAGATGAGTGGGGCTTCCCTCTCCTCACTGCTTTTTGTGACTCAGTCTTAAGGGTATGATGATTGTATGTTACAAAAGCAGGTGCATTAATGGATGTTCAGGAACTTGAACAGGGGGGAGTAGAATCACACTTAGGCATCTAAGTGTACTTAAAACACCTACTAGACGAAATAGGATCTGGTCCTTTTGGCGCCTATTGACAAGTGCAGAAGCTGCTCTGACGCACTGGAATTCCAGCGCATCAGAGCAGATTCATGGACAAGCTTTAGTTCAAGCACACCTGCCACCATTTTTAAGCACAGTAACACTGATACACGAGATGCAGTGACGCTTTAATTAGAGCACCTCTCAGAGGCACTCTAATTAAAGCACCACCCTCCTCCCCCCCAACCTCAGAGCACATGTAAAAGTGCCTTTAGTGTCTACCTCTGCTGCTGCTTAGCGGAATTTTTATGGGAGTGAAACTGCAAAACTTTTGTTAGTTTTTACTCTGTTGTATTTTAAGAAAGCTTGGAGCATCAGCAGAGGCTATAGAGTGGCCTGCCTACATGCTTCAGAAAATACTATGGCTTTGGGTTCATACTCAAGGTTATTGTTAAAACCAAAAGGTTTAGAAATTTCTGGTAAGCTCCTATTCCATCTATCAAGCATATAAGTGGTAATTAGGCATTTAAGTGTGATCTTATTCCATGCTGCTCATACCCCTAACAAACCATTAATACAGAAGGTATTAATACAAAAGGTAGGGGTCCTTGCTACTTTTTGTGACTTAGTTAAGGTGAAGATGAAGGGATAAGGAAGGCAAGGGCAGTGCCTGAGATCAGGTTGACAACTGAAATCAAGGACAATAATAAGTCCTTGTTTAGGTATATAGGGAGCAGGAGGAAGACCAAGGGAAGTGTGCAGCCCTCGCAGAATGGGACAGGGCAGCTGATAACAGACAATCAGGAGAAAGCTGAATTCTTTAATGAATACTTTGTGTTGGTGTTCTTGCATGCAAGTGATGGTCACCCACCTGGTCAGATACTGGACGGATGCGGAGGCGAGGGGGCGATTGCCAACCAATGATCTGTGTTGAACTGGTGAGGGAGCACTTAGAGCAGCTGAATGTCTTCAAGTTGGCAGGACCAAATAGACTACACCCGAGAGTACTGAGGGAATTGGCTAGAGTCATTGTGGGACTGCTGGCAAAGGTATTTGAAGACTTGTGGTGCTCGGGAGAGGTCCCAGAAGACTGGAAAGGGGCCAGTGTGTTGCCAGTTTTTAAGAATCAGGGGAGGGAGGATCTGGGAACCTATAGCCCAGTCAGTTTGACATCAGTACTGGGTAAATTTGGGAAAAAATTATCAAGATGTCCATTTGTTAGAGACTGGCAGAAGGCATGATGCTGAAGGATAGCTAACATGGTTTCGTCTGACCAACCCTGTCTCCTTCTATGATCAGGTAATGAACCACTAAGATGTGGGAGATGCAGTTGATGTCATATAGTTGGATTTCAAAAAGGCCTTCAATATGGTCTCCCATGACATTCTTATAAAAAAAAAACAAAAAAAAAACCAACCCCGGGGCATTGTGGGCTGGCAGAGTCCATGGTCAGGTGCGTTGGGAACTGGCTAAGGGGTCAAACCCAGAGAGTGTTAGCAGGATGGGTCTGTATCGTCTTGGCAGGAGGTGACCAGTGATGTCCCACAGGGTTCAGTTCTTGGCCCTGTGCTGTTCAACATCTTTATCAACAGTTTAGATGACGCTGTGGAAAGTACACTGGCCACGTTTGCAGATGATACTAAGTTATGGGGAAAAGTGGTCATGCTACGGGATAGGATGTGCATCCAAATGGACCTGGACAAGCTGAAAAGGTGGACAGAGCAGTACTGGATGCAGTTAAATAAGGATAAATGCAGAGTGCTGCATCTGGGGAGAAGTAACCAGTGACAAGAATATAGGTTAGAAGAAGATGTCCTGGCCAACATGATGGTTGAAAGGGACCTCGGGGTTATGCTCAATCACAGGATGACAAGAGCCACCAGTGTGATGCTGTAGTCAGCAGAGCTAATAGCATACTGGTATGCATTAGCTGATGCATTGAAAACAAGGCTAAGGAAGTGATACTTCCTCTGTACTTGGCATTGGTGAGACCCCAGCTGGAGTACTGTGTCCAGTTCTGGGCACCATACTTCAAAAAAGACATGGAGAATCTTGAAAGGGTCTGGAGGAGGAAACTTTGAAGAAAAACTAAGGGATCTGGGACTGTTCAGCCTGGGGAAGAGAAGAATGAGGTGGGACTTGGTGGCTGTCTGTAAGTATGTAAGGGGTGAATATCGGAAGGTGGGAGAAAAACTAGGGCACTCTGGGGAGGACAAGGAGCAATAGTCATAAACTGTTAGAGGATGGTTTCATGTTGGATGTAAGGAAGAACTTCTTTATGATGAGGGTGACCAGAATCTGGAATAGACTTCCCAAGGAGGTGGTGCAGTCCCCAACCTTGGAACTCTTCGAAAGGAGACTGGACAGACGTCTTGCTGGGATCATTTGATCTCAGCAGTATTCCTGCCCAGAGCAGGAGGGTTGGACTCGATGATCTTTTGAGGTCCCTTCCAGCCCTTAATTTCTATGATTCTGTTGAAGTGCATTACAAAGTGGACACCAACAGAGTGGGGCTTATGCAACTTGTTTTAGGATCACACTTAGACACTTAAGTCTCTAGCACCCCCAGGGTGAGTCCTGGAGCACTGCCTAATTGTTAAATAAGTTCTAGCCTTTACTCTGTAAAACCAGACAGATTTTGTAAAAGTTGATGTCATTCTCCTAGAAATTTGCTCTGCTCTGAGTAAGTTGGATGCATGGATTTTTTTGAGCTTTGTTCACATATAATCGACTGTTGAGTTCCTATAAGGTAGAAATGTAGCACATGCTGTACATACAAACGAGTCTTACTCCTTACCTTATAACTGGATAAAACCAAGACAGTGAGTGCATGCCTCAAAATTATGTAGTAATTTTCCTCTATGTGAATTATTGGATTACTAGCTGGTAGCTTGTCCCCAGATGATCACAGTCAGCATTGTTTTCAGCTCACTTGTCATCTTCTTTCTCTTATCTTGTTTCCCAATAAAGAGACCACTGATGTGATAATAAATTAAATGCATCCACAAACTCCTGCATGTAAATGTACAGATTAAAACTTTCTCTCATTGTGGGTAAATAAGGTTACACATAAAGTGATGCTTACCATTTTCCCCCCCTTATCTCCCTAGAATCCAACTCAAGTGGGAACAGCTCTACAGGTTTTTCATAATCTTGGAACTCTGAAGGATACTATTGCTAATGTAGTGGATGGGTACTGTGCATCCGTGGAGGAGAACATCAGAAACGCTTTGGATATCAAAGTTTTGACTCAGCCTTCCCAGGCAGTTACAAGAGGTGCAGTATGGGTACAGTTTTTCTACTTTACATTTCCAGTTATTTGGCAGAAGTACATTTTGCACCTCCCCATCCCATCCATGTTTCAGAGACAGTTTATTGCTTGTATTAACCAGGCCAGGGGGTAAATCATACCCATGGGTGGAGTATGAAAAGGGGGAGGTGCAGATGGCATGGTGCATCATCCCATATAATGGGTGCTTTGCCCCCAGCCTCTAGAGCTGTGTCAACTAGCCCACAGAACTCCCCATGCATCCAGAAATTTGGTAGTAGGGGGCTCTGGGCCCTACATGTTGGACTGGGTGCCTGATCCCAGTGCACAGGGCCAGGCAGAAGTGGCATGGGGCCTCAGGACCCAATCCCAGTGTGGGGAACTGGGAGGGGACCGTGCCAGGCTCCTGGAGCCCAATCCTGGTGCTTGGAGCAGGAAGGGGATGGTGTCAGATTCCAGGGTGTGATGCTGAGGTGTGGGGCTTGATCTAGCCTGCAGACAGGCTGCATACCACTCATTTGGCGCATGGGGCCAAAAGCTTAAGCAACACTGGCATATAACATAATACATCATTTTCTCCAGGTAGAAAGAAACTAGAAGGTTTACTCATATGCTCAGGAGAAAAGCAGTATTATTCAGTTTAAGATTAAAGTAATAACAAACATAACTGAATTGGAATGTGCATTAATTTGATACATTTTACATTTTGTATTAAAAAAAACAGATTAAACTAGGCAAAAATGATCAAAAATGTTATTTCTTTAGTCCTGTAGTCATTAGAATGAAATGCATATCTCTTTCAGATTCATAAAACAAAATTAAGCTTCTTGAGCATCTTGTCCATACATCTAGTATTTCACTGAAAGTTGTTTCCACACCCAAGCTGATGTTCACCTAAGTTAATGTTTCCACATCTAAGTTAATATTTTTAACTAGAGTTGAAAACAGTATGGAGGCCTGTGAAACTTATTTACATTACCAGGAGGAACTAAGAGACAGCAGAATTGCAGAAAAAAGAATAGCTTGATTAGTGTGATATTAATACCATTAAAAAGGAGAGAGTGCTGCTAACACCCATGGAATGAAGAGTTTGGAAGGAAGCAGGTAGATTATAATGAGCTAGAAAGTCAAGTGACTCCTTCACTGCTGCTTGAGTAGAAATGCTGCTGCCACTGCCAGGCATTTTCTTTTAAACTTTGGGTGAAAATCAGGAATCAAAGGGGTTCAAATCACCACTGAACCCCCCTCAAATAGTCCCCTAGAGCAGTGGTTCTCAATCTTTTTAGATTCAAGGCATCCCTGAATAGACTTCAGGCACCCCTTGGAAAATGAACTCTTGGTTTTCACTCTTTGTTTTTTTACTACAGAAAAATAATGGAGCAATTTTTCTTGCTTTCTGAGCAAGGAACTCAGAGATAACAGAGCGATGGATTTCTATTTGAAATCTCTGGGTTTATCTTGTGAATCACGTTTGCAAACCTAAGAGTACTAACATTGAATGGCACCCTGTGGCACTCTTGAATAGATATCAAGGCACTCCAGGGTGCCATGGTACCCTGGTTGAGAATCACTGCTCTTGAGTAGGCATGTTAATGGTTAAAGGATTTATATTTTAACCGATCAGCCCAGTGATAAGTAGTTCTAGCTTACAGGTTATCATTTAGTCCCAGCTGGGCACAGTCCAGGAGAGGGATGGGGAGAAGGGAAGCCCTGTGGTGTCCAAGCAGGAACCAGAAGGTGGGAGGACAGGAGGGAGGGAGAGAGGAGCAAGGAGCAGGGAAGAGGGCAGGGGAGGGGTAACTAATACCTAATAGCTAGGCTTCATGGACCCTGGTGCATCTACTCACAGCCTCCATGCTGCCTACCATGAGCAGTCCAGGCTCCAGACAGGCCATTGCCACCCACCACAGAGCCCAGGCTGCACGTGGCAGGTAGTGGGAAAGCTGTAAGTGGATACACCAGGGTCCACAGAGCCTAGCTATTAGGTACTAGTCACTCATCCCCCTCCACCTTCACCTCCCTCCTGTGCTGCAGCAGCTGGCCCCAAGAAACCACATGCTGGTGGCTGCAGGAGGCTGGTAAGGCCCCTCACTGGCTGCTGCTACCCATGACTTCCTGCACTGTGTTGCCTTCCTGCCAGGGCTTGTCAATGCTTTGGTCCCCAGCTCCCCACATTATTCTGAGCAGGCAGGTGCAGTTCCTCCTCTGCGGCGGGGCAGGGTGAGACAGGCACTCGCTTGGGGCTCAGCAACACCCTGTCTCCCCCACCCTACCTGACTTCACAGAGCTGCAGCCTGGAGCCTAATGCTCTTGTGCCCGTCCCTATTCCTGTGCCCAGCTGGATGCAGCGCCTTCTGTTGCTGCAGCTGTTGCAGGGCTTGGCAGGGGCAAGGTGGAGGTAAGTGGGCATGGGGCAACTCCCGTGGGTCTGTGGCTCAGTCCCACGGTGCACCCTCATGGGCTTGGATAGGATCCACCTGCCCACCCCACCTGGTTTGTCATAAGGTACAGCCCTGGGGAGCCGCTGAGTCCCCGCCACACCTTGTGGGGGCTGGAAGAGCCTCACTGGTCCTGGACTGGCAGGTGTGCCCCACAGTCCAGACAGGAGCAGTGGGCCAGGCTGAGGGTTGCCACACCAATTAATTGTTTAACTGCTGTAACTACAACAGGTTAAACATATTTTTAAAGAGGTATTTACATCCCTAGTATAGAGGTAATATAACATAAAAATAAATTTCGGTATGTTCCTCCTGTTTCTGCCTAGTGTCTTATTTCTTAATTTCTATTTTCTCTCCCTCTCCTTCACTTGTCTAGAAAATAAATTTTAGAAATTTACAATTGTCCTAGCATTTTCTTATGAGCTTATCATGGAAATGATTAATTTTTTCTAGAATCTGCTTCTACCTTCCTTGTGTTTGTGAGAGGGCTGCAGAGAGACTAAAGGAGAGATTGGGGCATGTGTCTTAAGCCAGGAAACCAATTTTCTGCACTGGAATAGAAGCATAGGGACTGCTGTCATAACTGCTGCTTCTCTCCCCTCTTTCTCTGACAGCAGCACAAAGCAAAGAGTAGAATCTGGTGTTCAACAAAGCAGCTAAAGTTTTAACCTTATCACAGCCACTGCTCAATTGGCAGTAGATTTTGGTTGAGTAAGCAAAATTTGTTGCCAATTCAAGGGCAGCTGTGATGAGGTTAAATGTGAGCTGCAGTGTTTGCAAGGACAGAGTGACTGGTGCTGAAGAGTAGACTCTGTACCTGCTCCATGTGGCCCCATTGGGTCATGACTCAGAAGGGAAAAAAAACCCTTTTTTCTCTTTATTCTGCCTTTCCAGAACAAGGTCTCTTTTGGGGGGCAGATGAGGTGGAGAGTTTGGAACAGTATATGCAAAAAATATGGTACTAGAAAGTAGTGCAAGAAATCTGACAAAGGCATTACAGTGCTTTGTCACACGGGAATTTATCAAAACAGTATTTGCCATTTTGGGTAGTCCATTGCATCATTAAACTTCAGTTCTCTTGATGCTTTAGTTAAGGTACCTCAGTGTGTTAAAGAATACAAATGTAAAGGTGAGATAGATAACAAATTTTAATTTGTAGTCTCTTTAACAGTTTGGGATTAGAAGGTAGCTTTGGAATTATTATAATGGGATGTGGACACCCAAGCCACTCAAGAAAATGTTGGCTTAATAATGATCTTTTTCAGTTAGAGTACCTTATTTTTGTCATTCAAATACAGCTAGGCCAAGATATTTAGGTGTGAGTATACTATTGCATCCTGCTGCTACATTGGCCTGGTGGGGTTTCTGCTAAAATGACAAAGCACGGAACAGCTAATAGTGCAAGAATATTGTAAATGTCAGCTGAACTTCAAAGTTAGCACTCAAATGCGATGATTAAGGCCATTCACTTGAAGAGCTGTTGTTTCAAACTGTCTCTGACTTCTGAAAATTGCTTGTTCAGGTACATATCACACATGAGTTTAGGTGCCTAACCTCATTTAGGCACTCACTCCAGAAAGTATTGATTACAACTTAAATTTTGGTCTGAATTATGTTTCCTTCAATATTTGCTTAGGGGGGCCTGGCCGAGCAGCTATGCCAACACCAGGAAACACTGCAGCCTTCCGAGCAGCTCTCTGGACAAACATGGAGAAACTCATGGATCAGATCTGTGCAGCTTGTGGCCAGGTAAAGTTCTCAGAGTCCTTGCAGACAGTTTGCTCAAAGCAACAGCTCACTGTTCATTATCAATCAAAAAAATCAATTTAGAATGTTAGGAATTATTAAAATAGGATTTTTTGTGGGGGTTTTTAAACAAAAATATCAATAAGTATCTTTTATGCCCATTTAGAAATCTGTGGTGCATCCATACCTTGAATACTCTATGCAGTTTTAATTGTCACACCTCAAAAAAGGTACAGAAAAACTAGAAAGGTATGAAGAAGGGCAACAAGGATGATCAGGGTTTTGGAGGGGTTTCCATATGAGGAAAAAGTAAATAGGTTAGGACTTTTCAAGTCAGAAAAGAGATGCTTGAAGGGCACATGATAGAGATTTATAACATATTAAATGGTGTAGAGCAAGTAAATAGGGATTTATTATTTTTCCTCTCTCACAATACTAGAACTAGGGGACATAAAATGAAACTACTGGGCAGTAAGTTTAAACTTTAACAGGAGGAAGTTCTTTCTCATACAGGGGGCCCCTATACACATGCAAGTTAAGATACAATGGGATTTCATGTGTGATCCACACAATCACAGCTCTTGTCATGCCACACATGCATGGCAGGAGGAATGATTGTGGGATCATACATTAGATCCCATCAGACCTTATCACTGGTGCAGGGGTAGCCTGGGATCATGATCTCGGGTCTGCAAGCCCAACAGCTGATTGAGACTTGCTGCAGAGCTCACAGCGAGGCAGCAGAGAGAATGCTGCTACCTCTGTGAGCCCTGTGAGGTGCCAGGCTTATGGCAGGACAAGCTGGGAGAATGCTGCTGCAGCTGTGAGCTCTGTTCTCCCTGCTGCCCTGGATGCAAGCCCTGCCCTACAGCTGAGACAGTGTACTCCCTGCTGCAAGCCCTGCACCTGACAGTGTGAGCCTTGTCAGCTGTGGGACAGACAGCAGGTGGTGCACCACTGTGGCTGGGAGCCCCTCAGTTGATGGGACTTCCAGCCACCAGAGATCACGTGGCCACACGTTCAACCAGTAGCATGATTAGAACAAACTACAGAGTTATTACACATTTTTTGTGGAATAACATTGTAGCTTATTGCATGTTTTATCATGCTGTTAATTGGTTGAACATGTAGCTGGGTCACAACTTAAGGTGTGATTACCCGGTTGATCATGCTGGAACTGTAATGAGTAGAGGGGGCCAAGGTACAATTAACTTGTGGGACTTATTTCCCCAAGATGTTGTGGAGGCTGGTAACTTAACCCAGTTCAAAAGGGTATTGGACCAGTTCTTGAAAGAAAGGTCCATTGGTAGTATTGAATAATGTAGACAGGGATGCAGCATCTGAATCAGAACTCCCTATATGTCTGTGCTGGAAGCTGCAATAGGACAGGATCAGGGAGAGAAACAGGAACACTTCAGTATGTGCTCTGTTCACCCTTTCTCTCAATATACATTCTCTGCCACTCAGTGAGATAGGATGTTGGGCTAGACAGACCTATGGTCTTACCTAGTAAATGGCATTAATTTCTTATGTTCTTCAACTTCAGTGCAATTTTACCGGCAGCAACTTAGAAAACATAAATTTTCTTGGAAATAAATGTTGTCTTACAGGTGCAGCACTTGCAGAAAGTATTGTCAAAGAAGAGAGACCCTGTTTCACATGTCTGTTTCATTGAGGAAATAGTTAAGGTAAAGTTTTCATTTAGCTAACTAAATTTCAGTGGTTCTTTTAAAGAAAATGTGATGAGAGATGCCTTTCAGTTACAGTTTTTCCTATAACACATTTGTAATTATAGTAATGAGATGGTGGTGAAAGTCATGCTAGCACAGAAGAGTGCATTTATGGACTGTTTATATGTGGGTTATGTCTTGTAATAATTACTTTTGTTTTCTTTTAAAAGAAACCGTAGGATAGTGTCATTTTTTATTAGTGATCATTATTGTCATTCCATAAGATACTCTGGGTAAATAGTATCATGCATTAGTTTTCATAGGAGAATGCGTCATCTTGTGGTATCTAGTACTCAGCCATCTGTTTCTCTACATTTTGGCAATTTCTTCGTTGAAATATAATCACGGCTGTTCTTTCCCTGTAATGTCCCAGATATGAATACCTATTCTTGTTCATTCATTTGTATTGTTTCCTATTCTTATTTGGAGTAATTTGATTAATGGTCTCCTTCAGGGTTGGGAATAGTAATTCTGAAGTCATTTTAGCTACCTTAGTAAATGAGGCAAAATAAAAACAAAAGAAGTTTTAAGGCCTGTTTTTTATGCAAACATCTCCTTTCCCATGCATATGACTAGATTATGAATTTATACAGATTTATTTCTAAATGGGTCCCAGGAACTATTCACATGCAAATTTTTTTCAACAGTAAAACCAAATAATGAAAGTTTTTTACACAGGAAACCTATTTTTTTACTCCAAAATAAGTACAGCATCCATCTGGACAGTATGAAGGCTCTTCCCAAGCAGAAATGACTAGATTCAGCCTGCTCTGGAAGAAAGCAAGAAAGAAATGGATAAACTTACAGCAGATGTGTGTCTGCAGAAAAAAAAGCTTGGCCTTGCAAAAAATATTTGCTGCTTCCTGGGCTGCACAAAGTGACTCTGTGATACACCAACAGACAAAGAAAGCAATCCTGTGTACTGGGGAACGATGGAGCAGGTTGGATGGGAGGAAAATTAATGTTAGTGAGCTTTCCATGTTCCATTTGCAACAGCCCTCCTGAGTCTATGCTTCTCCCTAGTACTACTGATTGCCTTCATAGAGATCCTCTTGGATCAAGAGAGGAGGGACCATCCCAATTGTCAGAGGAGGTTTAGGTGAAAGGGTGTGTCACTGGGGGGGAGGAAGGTAGAAGCAATGTAAATCTTTGTCACTGTTTAGCAATAGACTATTTAAACAGATGATTAATATGGCTGACCAGGAAATGATATGTAGTATTCCAGTCTCTTGGGAGGGTACTGACCACCCTTTTTAGCTTTTTTTTTTCATGTTGCAGAATTGAGCCTGTGGTACAATAATGCATTTTTCAGATGATAGCTATTTATATGTTCCTCCAAGGTTCCTTCTTTTTCTGTGACCATCCTTTTAATAAGATTACGCCATTAACTTCAGGAGAGCATAAAACAAAGCAGGAGAGTTCTCATTCTGCAAGTAGCTACTAAAAAAATAGGTCATCAGTCTTGCTTGAGCTTTCCCACCATGACAGTGTTGCTGCCACCACTAAAGCATTACTCTGCCCTCTCCTAGGATGGTACTCTACAATACAGTGGTTCACTCAGCTGTTTTTGCAGGAACACAGAGTAGCAATGGTGTCCACTGGGAAAGTCCTATAGTATCACTGATAAGAGTAGGAAGGAAGGGAAGGTTACACAGATCAGTCTAACTGGTGTGCAGTCGAAACTGTGCAAGTACCGGTCACTGCTAACATTTGGGAAGGTTCATATGGAGAGTTTTATGGAACAGCAAAAATTGCTCTGTCTGTTGCCAGTGCTTATACCTAATAAAATGGTAATCCCACCCCTGAGTCCTGAAAGCAATAGGTAATGGTAATCCATGATCATAGCTGCCACTACTAGTCATCAAGTCCCCAGACATTGTTGTAGGGAGAGGAAAGAAGGTTGGATTTGTGTTAGAAATACTGTGTGAACTGAACCAAACAACAAACTGAGGGTAATTGCTTTATGTCCCTATTCTAGGGCAGTATGCCCACTCCAGAAGACATGAAGAGGAGGCCTCCATTCTACATTCTGTGCACTAATTACAGTTACTGATGTCAACATTATTATAGTCATCTTCTGCAGCAGCTGCACTGCCACTTTGCCTATCCATCTGCTTCCTAGTTCTGATTATGGCAGAAAAAGTGCCATCCTAGGAAATGTGAGATAGTACAGGACCTTGCCTTGTTAAGCATAAGCATGTTAACAACAAGGAAACTAGCTGCTTTTGGATTCATTACTCTCTTCCTTTTGGAATTGGGGGGAGGGGGGCCGGCAGGGGAGAGGGTTATGCCTTTTTTCTCCTGTCACAGAGCACACAGCCTGTACTTCCCTTAATTTCGCTTCCATGTTCTTCATGCCTTCTAATTACCTGTTGCTGCAATAATATTTAGTAGTTTATTCTACATTCCATCTGAGGATGTCAAACACTTTATAAACTCTCAGACACTCAAAATGGAGGACAGCATAGAAGTATTGTCACTAGTTAACAGATGGAGAAACTAAGGCACAGCAGACTTGTGTACACTTGGAAAACTTCTAAACTCCCAAGTTCAACAACATAGTGGTAAAAATGTGGGTGTTTTTACCACTATGTTGGTGAATTTGGGAGTTCAGAAGTTTCCTAAAAGTACAAGCCTGCACCACAGCTTTCTGACTAGTAGCAGTAAAATGCTCTGGAATTTTTCTGTTGGGGGATCAATGGAAAGGACACTGGGATTCCTCAAAAAGGTTGCAGAATTTGGTTCGCTAGGAGGATCATTAGTTTTCCTGTTGTGAACCAAGTACTGACAGTTGGCGTGACATGAATGCTGATCCATTGCCAACCAATGTTTTCCATTAACTCTTGTTAAAGAGCTTAAATGGTTTGCTCACAATCCTCTGACAATGTTCAATGATAGAGTTCCCAGTGCTGCTTGTCCCTGTCCTGTCCCCCCATACCCAGATCACACTGTCTTATTTCTGTGACATGATGCCAAGTGAACTTGAAGAAGCCAACATTCCTTTTCAAATGTATTCATAATATGTTTACAAATCTTATTAAATTTCCTATCAGTAATGAAATTTGTGTGCAGATTCAAAATGGTAAACATATGTAAAGGTCAGCTGGAAGGCTTTTTTTATATTTGCCAAGTTATTTCTTCAATGATCTGTGTTTACGCTGACAAAAAGTAGCCAGGGAAATTCATGATCTCAAGTTTTGTAGATAAAAGGATGATAAACTGATTTTATGTATTAATGTTTTCAGACAGATTTTTAGCTTTTAACTTTTTTAAACTACGTTTATAATCAAAATTGCAAATATCCATTTAAAATCATTTAAATCATTGCTTTTATTTTACACTGATTTCTGTATTTTTTTTAGTAGTTATAGTACTCTCTCAAAGAACTGATAAGTGACTTTGACCTGTTCTATTTTTTCTTTTCTTTGCATTTGCAGTATCTAGTGTCTAATCCTGATCCTATTGATGTCAGTAGCTAAGTTACTATTGACTTCAGTGTAAGCCACATCAGACCCTGTATTTTCATGATGGCCAGTTCTGTAATCAAAGACAAGAATCCATTTGAGCTCCTTGTAACACAGAGTTGAAACTGAATTTTGATCTTCCCTATCCTAGATCCTCCACTTCCCCACAGACTTCAGTGAATGGCTTTGCAAAGTGAAAAGCTATTTAAACATCATGGCAGAACATTTTGGCCTGGATCCTATTGCATCTATAAGACATTGTCTTTGCTGCTGCTAGCCCCAAACAGTATGCATCTTACTGTAGGAGAGCAGTCCTAATCCACACAGTTTGATGCATGGCTCTCCAGTTTTCTGAATGCACAGCCTGGTTCATTCCCAGAAGCCAGTCCTATTCCAACCAGAGATGTACATCTCTCCCATCTTGTGCAACTCTAAAGGTGGGGAGACAAGTAATACTTACATTCCTTTACTGGGCAGCTTTGTGTGATTCTGTCACGTCAAGATTTGTCACGTCCAGAAGGGCAGAGATGAACAGCTATTTCTAACTGACAGATAGAATATGAGGAAGGAAGAGGGGAAAACCACCTTCTTGCATTTGTCAGGGCATTTGTTCAGGAATGGAGAGAGATGGCTTCTAGGCCCACCTTGGCTAGACAAGGTCTTGTGAAATCTTCACTTAATTTTTAAATCCAAGTTGTTGACTTAATTTAGGATCCTCTTGTGGTTAAAGTTAGTGTGTGCATAAATGTTTGCAGAATTGGAGCTACAGTCCTCACAGACCAAAGCAGGGATGGACAATTATTTCGGGCAGAGAGGGCTGCTTACTGAGTTTAGGCAAGGTGTCAAGGGCCGCATAGGTAGCTGCCCCTTGACAGGTGCCATTTGCGATGTGTAGGGAGTGCTCCTGGATTCACGTGCACCCCATGAGTGTTGTGGGGCACCCCCCCATGGGTGGTTGCCACTTGTGATACCCCCCTCCCTCATCGCCAACACCACTGGTGGCATTTGCGGGTGGTCCGCAATCACCGCTGGCTGCCAGCGATGCTGCCGGCAGCATCTGCAGGTGGTTGCTGACCACTGGCCAGAATTTGCCACCCCTCCTCCCCACCGCCAAGAGCACCGTGGCTGCCTGTGGGCGCTCCCCACTTACTGCCACCATGCTCCCGCCACCAACAGTGCTGCCACTGCCTGTGGGGGCTCGCTGTGCCCCCCAGCCTCCAGGGGTACATGGCATTCATGACCAGTGCCCTGCCCCCTGGTCGCCATCTTGTGACTGAAAGTCTTGCACCCTAACCCCTGAACTTTGCCACCAGAAGTCCCTCCCCTTGCCCCCAGAAGTACTCCTTTCAGCAAGGGGTTTTGGCATTATTAGAACCAGAAAAATATCAAATTATATTCTAAGAAGTGAACATCTACAACATTAATTTGATTTCAAAAAATGTTTTCGTCTTGATTTACATGTGTTTGTATAGTGTCCATAGAGGTGATAGCACA